GCCAGAATTGTATTAAGTTTCGACCTTGTCAATGTGGATTGAAAATCCAGTGTTGGCGGTAGCCATAAGTGGGGAGAGTGATTTGCTGCCCAAAATTCACAGGAGAAAAGTTTAGAGGAAGGGCAGGCTGTGACAATTTGCAGTGTGATATAAGACCTCAGGAGCCAGTATATACTGGCTCCTTATTACGGAGTCGGAGCTTCCGTAATTGGACCCCATAGCGTACCAAGACACAATGAAGCCAGGCCCTGCATTGGCTGGACAGCAACAGCAAGTCGGCCAGAGGGGGACACGGCTACCTACTTGCCTGTTGGTCTGCTTAGTCCAGCCCCGACTCGCCTGCATTATCCTCGAAGGATCGGCTGAGAGTCATGTAACAGCGGCGCCTCGGACAAGTGACCAACTCTCCCTTTGAACTGTCCGAATTGGGCTAGTGGTAACTATTAACCAGCCCACCAGCCTTCTAGTTTCTATGAAACCCATTTTGTTTTTAAACTGTTGATTTCTGCATTTTGCTCCCCTTGTATATTGTTTTTGTGGTTTGTATATTTATAAATAAATTAGTTTTCATTGAATTTTGAAGTCAAATTATCTGCTTGAGTGTACTGCATAATTTACCGTGCACACATTGCGTGTCAGAGGGTAGGGGGACCCGGGCTTGTGACAACGCTTCATTACTACAAGTGCAAAGTGGCTTCAGCATATTAAAACCCAACTAACTAACTTTCTACAGACATTACTTGACCCAATGAGATGCAACTTATAATTTAAAAAAAATAACAAAAATCAGACTTCTTAGCTCTGCTGATGCAGCTTGTTTAATTAGGGCTTTTCCATTGCAAAGCACCAACCCAGACTAACAAACAACTGATCAACTGAATACACATAAAAAGTTACCGAGGTCACAACTAAACTGTAATTTTGTTCAAGTTTATTGTACACGTATAAGGAAATCTGTGGTTGGAAAAAGACATTCAAGGATCAATGTCTTACCTTTGCTGTCTCACGCTCAAACAGTTTAACTGTGCAGTCTTCATTACCACAGGCCACGTACATGCCATCGGCTGAAATGGCCAGACAAGTCACAGCCTGCCATGAAAAACAATTTCACACTTTAGTTTATGCGTGAAAACACAAAGTTACTGTACAAATATCGACCGGAAACACTGACTGTAACAACACCACAGTATAGATATGAAGGAAAGTCAAACACAATAAATTTCCACATGAAATGCGATTTTCAAATGATGGCAGTAACCATTGTTTAGCAAACGGTGAGAAGAAAAAATCAGAGCGGGGAACCAGTTGGCAATTTATGAATACTGTGCGACTTTTGGCAGGTGACCTTGTTTTTCTGAACAGGTTACTTCTGCGCTCGGCATAATTCTTTGTGAATGATTTCACTGACACAGGCCGATTTACGGGTGAAATCACACTTGATTTACATGTGGACTTTCCTATGTGCAGGGCCCCTGGTGGTGATGACAGATTCTATGTTCCAAAGGAAAGCATTATATGTACGTGTACCTAAATATATCGTGGCATCATCCGTACCAAGGCGAATTGGCAACCCTAAAAGTCCAATCATAGACTGTGTCTGAATTGATTACTGTGTGGCTATGACTTTGTTTTGTTGCCATTAGCAAGCCACAGTAAAGAGCCATAGCCATAATGGACATGGCGTTACTCACCTGTGGGAACCCTGCAATGGTCATGGCACAGTCCTCCTGGTCCTCTCTCTTGTTCTTCCAGACCAGAAGGCTCTGGCGGGAAGCTGCACCCCCGCTGTCGAGCGCGCTCTTCATGGACTGACAGACGGCCGATTCTGACGGCTCATTGGCTGCTTGTTGCCAAGTGAGGGCGGGCAGGTTGGAGATGACGTGCAGGTTGCGAGACACAAAGGAACGGAATTCCTGTTTCCACGACCAAAAAGTGAGTTGACAACATGCTGAGAACAGTGCAAAAGTGAAGATTTTCAGGCCCCCGACTTGTGTGGTCCAGTACGGAAATGGAGCAAGACATCAGGGTGGCTTTTAAAACCAAAAATGGCAAGAAGGATGATGGCTTGGGAAGGGGCTTATCACTTTGGAGGGAGATGCTTAAAGAGTAACGCAAAAGCATTGAAACAAATAAAGTTTAGTTCTTTATTCTCCAAATTCTGAAGGGGGCAGGGGGTAAAGGAAGGGAATGGGTCTGGAGTGATGGTGGTGGGGGATGTCTAAAATGTCACCCTTGGTCTCGCCCCAGCAACCCACCTGCACTTGCTGCTTAGCCAGGAATTTCTCACGGTCCCTCAGGGCTGCCCTGCTGGCTCCCGCTGCCCCGGATGAAGCCGCGTCCCCGACGAAGTCGTCTAGCAGCTGGGAGGCCAGCCCCATCCGGCACTTGGCGTAGATGAAGGGCAGACTGCACAGCGTCCCCTGCAGCTCGGCATAGGCGCTGGTCCGCGACAGGTGGTGGGAGACCTCGCTGAAGGCGCGAGGCTTGCGGCCGGCCCAGCTGCCATCGCGCAGCGGGTCTGCCTCCTGCAAGAAGTAACCTGCCGTGAAAGGAAAAAGGATGCAATGTCACCCTGAGTCTTGCAAAGAGGCTCTACACCAACTTTGAGAAACAGAAACAAGAATGAACCACGACATCAACTCATAAGATCACTTTCCTATGCTTGTTGGACAACCTTTACTAAGCCTAAAATGCTTCACACTGCCAATATGGGTGAAACTCTTTTGATTAAATAAGCATTTCTGTATCTACATGTGCCGGTTTGTTACATACAAGGGGCACGTTCCAAAAATGATTATTTGTTAAGAACTGGTTGATTTTGCTTGGTATCCAGGATATATTTTGCGCATAGGTCACCAGGGTAAATCAACCAGCGGTTGGCAAGTACTGGTTGATTTTACTTGGTATATAGGGTACATTTTGGGCATAGGTTACCGGGGTATAAATCGACCAGCGTTGGCAAACGATTGTCACTGGAGCTTGCCTTATAATGCTATCAAAACTAACCTGCAAGGAGGGCATGTAGTCGGGCCTCAGCCTCTGTCCCAGATCCCTTCAGGTAGCGCTGTCTGACAGCCTTATTGATTTCGTCGTGGGCCAGACTGAGATGGTTTACACTGTGGGTAAAAAAACATGAGTGGTCTCTCTCAGTATTGAAATGTCTACAACTTGGGTCAAAAAGCAAAAAGAAAAATTTAGTCCGCAGTCTATCTACTGCTAAATTGATGTGGCGCAGAGGGAACTGAACGCACCTTCAAAGCTGGTGGTTAAATTCTGAGTCAAGGAGTACATTTCCAAAGAGGTTTCAGTAGGATTAAAAACAAAGTAGAGCCCATCTTTTACTCTGACCCCTCTTGAAAATTTGAACAAATCTGGCATTGGTTCTTGCATCACGGAAGATTCACATAAGTCTCTTGGGAGTAGCCTATTTGTGATGGGATCTGGTAAAACCCGTAGGATGTCATCAAACTTGTTTGGGAGATAATGGAAAAATGGTCCCCAAGTGTTTTTTTGACAGTGAATGATTCTGATACCATTTTGTTGATATCCAAATAGTTTTAAATAATAACAACCTGCAATCTTGCAATAAGTCAATTTTAAATTCTTACATTTTTGTCTCAAAATAAGGTCAGCGGATTTTTATATTACACTTGCCACATAACTCAGCTAATGAACAACCTAGAATCATGAATTAAACACTTCCAAAACAGAACAGTATCCTTCATGTATCACACGAAAATGACAAATTCCACCTCAAGAAGAGTTTTCCCAGATCACATCACATTTCTCGTCTCACCTTTGCTCCCCAAGTGGGCGTAGGAACCCCTGCAGGCTCCGCAGGAGCTTGGCAAAGACAGCCTGGGGCAGCATGTGCTCAGCAGTCAGAGAGACATTCTTGATGTCCTCCAGGCGGTACTTGCTGCCTCCCAAGATGGTGTGGAGACTCAGGAGGCTGTGCAGCTCGTCCTCCAGCAAACCTGAACGTTGGTGAAGAAGTGCCATCATTGTCGTTTGTAAGTCAGCAAAAGTGACAAACATTCTCCCCATTCTACGTGCAAAACTGCAACGTTACTACTTTCCTTCCAATGTTTTAATATTCAACCGGACAAAAAGGGGAGAGTAAAAATACTTTTCTTTGTTTCCTTTAGGCTGTCAAACTGCAAGGGCTCCAAGTGAGGAAAATAAACTTCAACAAACAACAGAGCAACCAATCAAAACTAGTTCAAGTATAAACCAAACATGTAACAAAAGGGGGATGTCGTGAACCCCCAAATTAAAATATTGACTAACCTAATGCAACCACGGGCCGTTTTTCAATATTCAACTTTGGCTTGATTTCAGGCTTCAACTCTTTTTTAACTACCTGACTTTGAAGTTGTTAGTGCAATAGTAAGTCTGATAGTTCTACAAAACAGCAAGAAAGATACAAAAAATGACCAAACATTACGGTACTTCAATCTAATTTAAATGCTTCGGGCCCACAATCAGGGATTGGTTTCAGAGACAAAGCCTGAGACGGAGACGAAGTTGAGTATTGGAAAACAGCCATGAATGCAGGACACATGTTTCTTGAGTAAGTGAAAAGAGGGCATAATTGCAGCTGAATCTCACAAGTGAGTCTTGATGCCAGTTTACAAAGACCAAACTGAGCTCTCGATTTTGATGTATCACTTTTGACAGAAACTCCCACTGATTCACACTGAATGAGATTCTTCTCTGGTGACTTTCAGCCCATTCCATTCTGGGCCATAATTAATCTGCCCACAGCCGATTTTGATCGACGTTTACTGACCGTCTCTTGCGCAGACCAATAGTGCCAGGGCTGTGGACAGCAGATCCTTGCCGTGATCCCCCTCCAGCCTCTGCATCACCTCCTGCAGCAAGGCACTGATGGTGTGAGACATCCGCTTCAACCGCTCCGACACCTGACATTGAAGAGATGCCGAGAACTTTAAGCTCAAGGCAAACTATGATAGCGGCAATCTCAGGTTCTGTGTTTGGAAATGTGCATTTCCCCAAACGGACTACTCTGAAAGGGGCTATAACAGAACATTTGGGCAAGTCCATGATTTTGAGCACACTGTGCACTACAGGGTACTGAAGTGAATACGCCACACGCACAGTTATGTGTGCAAAAGGCATTAGTGTGAAACCAAGTGCAAACAACATGCGTGCGTACTCCATTCGTTTGTACAGTACTTCCTGGTTCTACATAACGTCACACTTCGGTACTCTATAGGTAACAGACATTTCACCCTAAAAGGCATTCATAGATTTGGGTATTTCTCATTCTGCTATTGGGCATTTGGATGGAGAATACCCATGAGAATTTTCAACATTATGTTTGTGATGATCGGATAATTAGAGGAAAAAGGGAACCTTTTAACCTCCTTCTAGGAAAGACATAATGCTGATGTTAAAATTTGGACGCCATTGAATTTGTTTGGGCGGTGGGATAGAATGATATTTTCTTTTTCAGGATGGATACCTCCTGGCCATTGTTTGTATTCTATTCAAGATTTTCTGAACCGTGATAACAATTTTCCTACGAACAGAACGTTTGATGAAAGTTTATTTAGACAGCACAGAGAGGCCAGAAGGTGCACTTGCAAAGTCTCAAACCTTGTCCATTTTTGAAGGGTCTTTTTTTTTCTCCCTACCTGCTCAAAGACACCAAAGATGCGGAGTTCCTCACAAGCCAGGCTGAGGAATAAGGGTGAGTTGGCCTCTCTCTTGGCAACCAGTAACTTCATCTGCACAAGACACCAAATCACGATCGTTAAAGGATGCAAAACACTTTTATTTAGACAGGGAAGACAATGACTTGTCTTCGAGAGGTTTTTGCGCATACCGGGTGGAATCGATCTCTTCAGAAAGTACGGTGGTTCTTGGAGGAGCCGGTGAGTGGGAACTCAACATTTTGAGGTGTAGCCAGTTAGTTTTCATTAGGTTAGAAAAATGTACTTGTGAGCAGAAATGATTGTTTTATTTCAGTTAACTGCCATTAGTATCTACCCACTGGGTAAAACAGTTTAAATACAAAACTGTTATTGAACCCAATTTTCAGACTGGACTCTTTCAACTTTCCAACTATGTGACCTGTCATGACAAAATGAGCGTAAAACAACAAAATGAGTGCAAAGTGGCACTCCTGTCCTATTATGACGGTTCAAAATCAAACATTGAAGGGCAGGTCAAATTTGGAGGTTTTGTAATATTTGGAAAGAGTAACCCTTCTTCCATTTAACTCCAAATTTTTAGGCTGATCAGATTTCAAAAATATTACTTTTCTTTCCAATTTCACGATTATTTGTGTCTGGGCAGAAAAGTTTTTTAAAAAGTCAAAAACGAAGATGGAAAGCTGTCGGAATAATGTCACATTATCACCCTACTGTTACTGTCATGTACCATTGAAAAGCTCTATGTGCAGCATCATAAAATAAGGAGATAAGCAGCTCATCAATTTTGTCCGAAGCCAAAGTCGCAAATGACACCTAAGTTAAAAGAGCATCGTTACAGACTCTTGAAATCTAAACTTGTTGGCCTTGCCTGGTTGTTGAATGGGGACTCATCCAGGGTCTTGCGGTGGACTGCCAGCATGCGCCTCACCACCGTGGCCTTGTCCAGCAGGTCAAGGGGCCCAAGGGTCAAGGTTGAGGCATTACGGCGGAGCAATGCCTTGTGGGATTGACTGTCCACGACGGTACTGACCACAAACATCACATCCTGGAGAGAGTTTATTAAAAGAAAAAAATTCTACTAGTTTGAAAAAACACTGAACTTGTAACACTTCTGTTTAAGTTAAGTGTTTGTAACCTAACATTCCGAAGCTGTCAAACAATCTTTTGACAATTTCAGGTCATTGGCCTATGTGCCAAAAGGATTGCCATTATCACAGCTCATGTTATGTTGTCACTTGACTTAAGTCCAGCTGATTTTTGACTAACTTATGACTGACTAGGATTAACTCTTAGTAACTTATCACAACTTGACTACAGTGGACTAAAAATTGATACGGACTCAGTCATTTTCCAATAGAGCTAAATGATAATGATGTCATGCTTTGTTTATATGAATGCTTTCCTATGGAAGTGAGGTGGGACACAATCGATGAACCCAATAAAAAAAGCGTTCATGTGAACAGACGTGACGTCATTAGGTTATAGATTTATTCCATTACATACACACTCTCCAAAGTCAATAAGGTAAAATAGCAGTACTCTAATCAAGCCACTTTCCATGAGTGTAATAAGTAGTATACAGCAGTATCAGTCCACTGATTGGTGCCAAAGCCCCCAATTTGACGATAATTAAAAAAAAGTCAGTGAGGTGAAATGCACAATGGGTGACTTTACTGTGGGACGAACGGCCGCAACAGGAATGAAGGCCCTTTGAGATAGAAATCAATCCTACCTTTGGTATTTCTTTAGGCAGCCATTCCATGTTCTTGGCCTGGTAGGCTTCCTCCATCTGGTCCAGACCGTCCAGAAATATCACCAGGGGAGAGCTCCCACAATGCACTGCAGCACCCTTCAGGAACTCGGGAAACTTCATCATGAGCTTGCTGTGAATCAGTACAATTTCACCAAAACAAATCTCATTCTTAAGAGTTTACTCTATCATACTTAGGTTTTTTCTCATAGACATCCTCAAAAGTGACCTGCTACACACGACCTCGTAACTTTCTAGATTGTCTATTTTCACAAGATAAGATTAATCGATGGCAGCATATGCCATGCTTGACTAAACTGGCAAAGTCTGGGTCACATAGGAAAAAACTATCAACTGCAATATGTGTTCATATCAACTGTAATAATTCTGTGTACATGTATTCAAACTGGAGAGTTACAATGGCAAGAATTTTAGAATACAGCAAACAGAGGGAGACTCCATATTTTGTTAGCAATGAACACTACATCTTTATAACTTCAGCTTTAACTTGCTTACATGCAGTTGATACACACTCCAATTGTGAACAGAGAACGTACTTATAGTCTTCAGGTATGGTGAGAACGAGGGCAAATCGCTTCTTGAGCTCCAGGCACAGGCGTCGCAGCATGGCCAGGCCATTGCTGGATCCCACCGCTGCCCCCACAAAGTGGACCAAGACGTGGTGGCTGTCAGACTCTGGTATCTTGTTCCTGTAGCGCTGGGCAAGACACGACTGGAAGAACCAAGTTCAAAAACACTTTGGTATGAAGATCAAAGAAGCTGTGAAAGTTAAGGTGTGATTTTTATTTCAGTGTGGTTCCATAAATAAATTTTGGGTCTAACTGGATCATAGGCTAGGTTTATAAAAACTGTGGATGAAATTTCTGAAATGGCAGATAAGGAAATAAGCAAATAAACTGAAATATCTGTGACACTTTTTACGCCCAAGTAGTGCAAGAATGACCACAGAAAATGTACTTCTGAGACACAGGTAGTTTATCAATGCATACATTGCATTTTATTTGGAGTGATTACAGACCAATGAAGAACTACGTAGAAATACGAGTCTTCAAAGGAATGGGCTTCAAGCTGGACCAACAGAGGGGCTTTTCCCAGCAAAGGAAGTGCCTTTGGTCAGAACTGAACTTTGTTGGTTCGCAAACAACTGTGAAATGCACCGTCACAGTTGCATCGCTACCAACAAATTGAACGCTTCCAATCAACGCGGCCCTTTTTCAACCAATGACGGGGTGCTTCTGCTCAAGGCGAATTGCCATCGCCAATTTGATGACAACCCCACAAAAAGTAAAGTCACCCTTGGCCATCATATATTTCTCCCTTTTATTGTCTCAACAAATAGCAATTGCAACAACAGGGAACACTGCTTATGAATTAATTACTTTGCAGACAAATCTCAAGAAATGCTATTACTTTGGCGACAATGCACTCAGTGCACCCGTCTTAACTTGAGGCACACATGCTTCTTCTGAGTCACAGAATCTTCTCTGCTCCAAATGAGAATAGGACGGGGCATGTTGTTTAGGGCTGTGCCAAATATCCTAATATTTGATTATTAAATATTCGAATGTTATTTTCCGAATTGGAATATTCAAATGTAAAATAAATCATTTTACATGACAAAAAATTGAACTATGGAGGCTTGTTTCAAGCAAATTATACAAATGAAAAACGATAGAGATCTGACGATTCAAAAAGGTAAGTTATTTATTAAAAAATTTAAAAGAACAAAACGTCATCAGGACAAGAAGTACTGTTTGTCTCTAAATTTAGCTAAATCGAGGCTGGAGATACTCCTAGATGTGAGTAGCTATTATAGTGATTATAATGTACAATTGTATTTGCAACTGATTTTGTATATGGTTTGTTCATCAACGATCTGCCAGTCAGTACAACTGAATATTTGATGGAATTGAAGGATGAATATTCAAATAGTGAATTATTCGAAATTGACTCAGCCCTTGTGTTTTTACATGGAGATGGCAGTGTTGGGTTCTCATAGCATAGGCTCACAGGTTTATGTAGGTTTGGTGCAGGGCGCGATGAAGACACACGACCAATTTGTGCTGGACTGTACAGTCTTCGTGCATGCGCCAGGTACACGCATGAGCCCGGATGGAAAACTTCCCCCCTGCCTGTCACTTTCTTTGCCAGTGAGGGTACATTTCAAAATCAGGCTGGATAAGTTGAAGAGGTATTCAACGCATGCATGGCTCCTGCAGGCAAGCCTAGTTCTACTGCATAGCAATAAACGTTATTCACAGAGAAGTAATTTTTCGCTTTGTTCCCTGAATCTATCATATTTGATCTAATCTGTTTAATGGGATGGTGCCAGACTATTTTGGGTTCCAAACTTCACCTTCCTTTTTAATTTACCACAAACTTTAAATTATTCGAAAAAAAAACTGGGATGAATTTGTATTGAACTTTAATTTTGTCACTTTAGTTAAACTCTCAAGTTCTCAAAAAGAAAAGTTTTGCTTAACTTTCAATTCAAGATGGCTGACACATGAATAGAATCCATTGCTTACAACCTCATTCCCATGGAGGCGATCTTGCTGCACCATGTTGGTTCCCACCATGCTTTGCGCGATCTATCCCTTATAGTCAGTGTGTTTATGCAAGACGCAGATTTACGGGTGCGTGACATGCAGAAGAATATGTGGGCACAAGCTTGCAGCTTTTGAAATATGGGTGCAATTGACATAACATTTATGTATACTTATCCTAAACGGCCAGTCAGCGTCATGTTCGTATTCTACACGACCAGGGGCTAGTGAAGGAGCGTGCACGCAGCCCATGGAGTCAAGGTTGCACTGCTCCTAATTCTGGTTACAGGATTAGCCTGTACACAATGCTTACCATGAGGGCAGTCTTTCCGCATCCACTCTTCCCGGCGATGACCATGAGGCCCTTGTGGCAGGCGTCCATCAGGTCCAGGCCCTGCCGCAGCTGGACCTTGCGGCCGCTGAACCCGGCCACGTGGGCCTCCAGGAAGGCCTGGTGGAGAGCGCCCTCGTGTGACAGCTCGTCTAGGAAGGCTTCCTGGTGATTAGAAGAGGTGCCATGATATGATCACATTGTTGAGTGCAACATAATCGCACATGTTATTCTTGCCGAACTGGTATCTGATTATATTGATAAAAGACTAGCTACTTAGCAAAGGCACTACATCTTTTAATCCCAGTAACATCTGAGAACAACCGGTGTGACATTGACATATCTCTTCTGACCCCTGACAGAGTGGCCAACTATGTACATGTGCAAGAAGGCAACACATTTCAAATGTGTCAATGCGGACCCCGCCAATTAAATTACAGACAGCATCAATCACATCAAGGTGTACAGCAGCCAAAGCAATTTTGACAAAGCTTTTCGAGGACCCTGCCTGTCCTCAAACACAAGTAGAATGTGAGGTCAGGTCCTCCACTTAAAGCATTAGCAAATCATGTCCATGCTTCCTTCATTTATTGAACTATTTCCACAAATGTCTACCACTGGTTTACCTCTTCGGGATAATGCTGAAGAAACGAGTTCCACAGGTTGTTGACGACGCGCATACCCAACTCCTCTAGGTTGGTGGTGACTGGCTTGTAGTCGACTATACCACCGAACCGGCACGGATATCTGAGCAAAGTATACAATGAGTTACACTGAGTTTCATCCCTCAGCCCAAACATTGATGAATAAAAACCATCAGATGTACATTTATTGGGAAGTACATGCAGGCAACATATACAGCAGAAAGAGGATGCAGCGTGAAATTGATTCAAGGACAAATTGGTGATAATTGGGCCTGACATCAAATATCACATACAGTGATGAAATGATACCTGTTGGCAAGCCGCAGTTGCCCAAGTCCACATTAAATTTATAAAACAAGTACGGGCTGGTTTTTAGTGCAAATGCAAATAGCAAAGGTTATTTACTGCTTATTTGCAAAAAGTTGGACAAGTCTCCACATTGACAACAGTTCACTGCAAATGCATTGCAGACATAAAAAAAATTTGCCTCCATATTTGTGCAAAAGGGACTGGGAACATTTTCAGGCCTCAAGTACAAGCTCCCCCCGTTCTATGCTCTCCATGGCCTCAGTGAAACAAATACACATAAGTTTATAGGAGGCATGAGTTTGTGAGACACTGTACCCGTCAAAGACTTCCAGTCCACTGTGTCGAATTCGCTGTTTCAGGTTCTCAATCTTCTCTGCTGCTGCGCCTGTCTCCGCTTGGAATGCAGACTGGCAAGAAGGGGGCACCTCACTGATGATAAAACAACCAGATACCAAAAACTGTCTAGATAGTGCTGTACACTCTACTGCCAGCCCATTGATGAGGTGGTGCAACAGCGATTGACAAGACGAGATTCTCTGTCTGTTCCACTCATTTTGCTTTAACATTCGTAGATTTGCGTGGACCTGTGACTTTCACTTTCTCTGTGACTCAAGATTAATGGTTTATAATTTCAGATGGTAATAAACGTAATATGAAGAATACCTCACTTCCCTTGACATGGTTCAAATAATATAAATGTAGGGAATTCTGGAAATGAGGAAACGCCATCAAAGTTGGTGTCACATTTGAGCTCTACGTGCTACATGTAAGTGACTTTCTGACAGCTTGTAGGAAAATACTAACACATGCTCAGGTTGGACTTGAAGCCAAGACCTTCTGCTTGCTAATACCAAAGTTTTTAATCATTTAAATACCAACGCTTGTCAAAAATGGTGACAGGTATCATTTTTCTAGCATTTCTCATGCAAACAACTGTGATCAGGGCACACTACTTTAAAGAAGTTCAGATGCCTAAGGTCAAAGTAAATACGCAAATCTTTGGCTTTCATCCCACATTTTAAACTTGCTAGGGTCAGCTTGCGTATTATGCAAGCTTGACGACTTACGCCATGAAATCACTGTTCCTGAAGTAGAAGAATGCCCTGCCGACAGCCTCCTGTGGGTCGCACAGCGCCGCATGCTGCATCTCAAGCTCTGTAATGGACCGGCCAGCAGGGTAGTCCTGCAGCCAATCAAATTCCGGTGTGGCTGGAGTAGCGTAGGTGTCTGGGCAGAAGCCGTAACGCTGTCCCAAGATGCCGACGAAGTAGTCACAGCGAGAGACCTCAGTCAGGCAGATCTCAACAGATCTGCAAATATATGAGAAACACATTTGATGAAAGTCAACAACTTGTTCAACTTTAACAATCTGCATTTTTTTTTTAAAAACCTTCCCTATCCGTAGTAACAATTTGACTCATGACCAGAGGGTCAGGGGTTCGAATCCAGCTGCTGGCCGTAAGTTGTTGCCTTAGATGAGTCACTTTGTCTCTACTTGCCTCTCTCCTTCTAGGAGTATCAATGGGTACCTACCAGCATAAGCTAGGCATTACATGAGAGAAACACTCCACGAGACAGAGGCCAGATTTCCACTGCCTTTTCGTTGTTGACACTGCAACACCTTTTGGAGCTTGTTATCTTTTTTAATCAAACAATAACTGGTAATCTGTAATCAAACACCAACAAACTGGAGTTTGGCGGCCACTGCTTTTGAGCACTGGAGCATGAAATTGTAGTTTGCATTCTTGATATGCTAAAGTCTTTTTTCACAATTCAAAGTTTGCAGAGTCCAAGTGGCCACACAAATTACAGAACCTCATCAAAGTAGTTTCATTACAATTCAAACTCATATTTCTTGAATATGATCGCTGGTTATAACTTACTCAGAAAGATAAGGAATTAGACCAACAAAGGATTGAACCACAAGCCTCTCAAGCTTGTTGACCCAGGATAAACAGTGCAAACTAATAAAAAATTGAAAAAGGCGGGTGTTTTTTTTTTCAATTAGAGCCTCTGAAACCCTCTAGTGGATTGGGGACAGCATGAGCTGTAATGGACCAGTAATCAATTAGGGGAAATACAAATATTCTTGGTCATTTCATGCCAAGGAACCAGAGACCAGCACTGGCCTGGTGAGCCAAATGGCTCGGGGGAAACTTGTTCCATTTAATATTGAGCCAAAAGTAAATGCTCACACTGTGGTATTCCGTAGCAGGAATATTTAAAAACAACACGTGAGAAGAATCTCAATCGGACAACAAAACTATGATGTATAGCAGAAACCTCAAGTCACAGTTAAACCTGAAACTGGCATGTGGTTCAACATGCCCCCAGGCCTACCTGTTCTGCCTAGTTTCCTCCTCCGTCACACCCCATCTCAGATCCACCTCAAACACATTAAGGAAGCGCTTCTTGGCTCGGGCCCGCAGCTCCGGGAAGACAAAGCGAGTTAGGAGGTCGCGCTCACCGTGCATGTCACGGAAGGTGGAGGAGATGAACACGCGAGCAGTCCTCCATCTACAAGAAGAGACAGAAAAGAGAACATGAAAGGCAGTGTTAAGTCTGCACAGGTCAATCACAAGTCCTCACATCATCACATGTCCATAAATAAGTCCTCACAAATCCTCACTTGTCCATCAATAAGTCCTCACAAATCCTCACTTGTCTCTCAAATTCCTCACAGATCCATCACAAATTTTCAAATGTCCATCACAAGTCATAACGTGTCCATCACAAGTCCTCACATGTCTGTAACAAGTCATCATAAGTCCATCACAAAATCTCCTACATGTCCATTTAAAGTCCTCCTAAATACTCATACAATGTCATCTACAATTTGTCTCTTTCACGCCAAATCATGCACAATTCAAATATGCTGCGACAGAGGCACTCTTTTGACCCATTTAATGCTTGAGACTACACCCGTAATTCGACTTGTGATTGACTTGACAACTCTGAAATAAGCTCAGGAAGAGTTCAAATGGAACAAAGGTGGGTCCGGCATTTGAAACAATTGTCCCCATTAACATGATTAAGAATCAAGGCAGGAAAGTACATGCACACGTGGAAAGAAAGGCAGCCACTACGGGCTGCGCATTCCGAGTTGTAGCTACTAGATAATGAAAGTCAGGTTGGCAAGGTAGTTCTTTCCTCGTCTTCCACCTCTGTGGTCCTGGGTTTGATTCCCGGCCCGGTCCACATGTGGATTGGTTTTTCAGTCCCTACCTGACTCTGTGGGTTTTACCCAGAATATTCCTCAGGGGTTTTCCTCCCACCTCTAAAACTGTCACTGCTTCTTACTGTCTCCCTTTACTGATGTTGGTGAATGTGGGTCGTTTGGGGGCTGCCAGAGGCACCCTTGTATGCCATTGGCTCAACCATGTTTAAATGTATTCATTGTTCTACGCTTAATGTCTTCATTGTACAGCACATTTGAACATATCTATATGAAATTTGTGCTTTATAAATGAATAAATTATTATTATTATAATGATCTAGCGACCTGTGTACTGGGGCAGCGATGGGCAGAGGGGTCTCTGGGCTGGTGGCGGTAGACGTTTGGTTGGGATCAGCACGACCTATTGCTGCTACCTGTAGTAATGACAGGGAGCCCAAAAAACCAATGACCATCAGGTTCCAAAATTTACTCAAGAGGGCTATGTTACTTGGGTTCTAGAATGCTCCATTGGGGCAGAAATATCTCAATAAGCTTCTGTACACGTCAGTTGCCCATATGAGGTTTTACACGTCGGTATTGAAGCTTACCTTACACTAACAGTTTTGAAATGTAGCTTACACTTAAAGGTTTGTCAGAAAGAAGAATGGCTGAACTAATCAATTAATCAATTATGCTACCGTACATAAATGATTGGCACATTTAACGTCAGAGTGTGATAAGCTGTGTTGATGAGGTCACTGAATAACCCTCACACTATCTGAACAGTCGCAGTCGATCTAAAATTTCAACTGTGTCAGCCTGCTGCCCTTTCTACAGGGCAAGCACTGTGACCGGCCAAATTCAAGGAACAGGTCGACTGATAGGACAGGCCTTCATACCTGAAGCAATTTCGACACCATATGTACATTTCTCTATTACTGCCAACAGGACTCCATTCCAAAATTCAATAACCATTTTCACACATCCTATGGGTCTACGTGAAGCTACACAAGCAGTCATAGCAAATCTTACTTACATGTATGTAGAAGAATTCAGCTAAAAATAAGCATATGTACAATGCTTGAGGACGGTTTTAGTAAGCAACACAAAATCAACATTACATATTTAAACAATCATTATTACTTCTAGCAGAATGAAGAGAGTGCTACAAGAGTAGTTTCAACAAAATGAAATGCTGGAGCAGGGTTAAACAGTCTCAGTCTTTGATTTTACTGTCAGCCTCCTCACCTGGAGTTCTCTAAGGCCGTACGCTTTGTCAATGTTCTCCACGTGATTGAGCTGGCCGCTGTCCCCTCGCTCAGCAATAAAGCGCAAGATGTTGTCGCTGTAACCGGTCACACGGATGTCGTTCGGGTGGCTGGGCTTCTTGTCTTGATCATCAGCCCTTCAGGGCAAAAGAAATCAACCCCTTGAAGATGGAAACTACACTGCTCACTCCATCACTGAATAACAGACACTCAAGAAGCCAGTGCTGCAAATGAGACTATCACAAAACCAGACTCAAGACCAGTCACAGGTGCACAGTGACAAAGGATTGCTCTTGCTGCAATTCATTTGTTTACCTTGTGATTTGCATTCAGACTGGAGGTCTTGCATTGGTCTTGTGGGACCTTGTGATAGTCTTTATTGGGGTCTCACCTACAACACCAGCAAAATGCAGTTTTATAAGTCAGTCCTAGATTTTTGTGCCTGGATTTGAGTCCAGTCATGTTGAAGGATTGACTCCGCTCAAGTCTTTGATCAAAAGGGTCAAGTTACGAGGTATGCTCAGGTCCAATTTGGTGATCGAGTCAATTTGAGTCAGTGATACTAAACAATGCCAAATATTACCCACGAGAAGGAGGCTCAAAGGTTACTGGAAAGTGTACCAACTCAGAGGATCTTTACATGAAGTGCTGGAAATGAAGACTGTGATAGCCCTTATCTGTCAACCCAACCTCGCTGTTTTTTTTACCAATGAAGGGATACTTCTGGGAGAACCCTCAATGCAAAATATACATTTCAGAACCTACTATGCCGACTGCTGAGAGTGTACCCTTTCACAAAGTTAGGACATAGTAAGAGAAGACCATCTCACCGGTATGAGAAGTCCAGGTCTATCTGCACAAACAGCAGGTTGGGGTTGACCACCTGTCGGTACTTGGCCACGAACTCCATCAGCTCGTCCCCGCCTGACCCCTCCTCTCCAAAGTCCTTGCCGATGACGATCAGGTTGTCAATGTGGATGCGATCACGCAGGGCGTCGTTCAGCATGGCCATGTTTAACTTGCTGGGTGGGGCTGACCAGAAACTTGTCCCAACGTCGTTTGCCTGAAAGGCGACCAATCGGTACCTGCTTGACTTCAATCCTCAATGATGATTTCCTAGCCAACATGTCACACTTGGAGATTGAACTGTCTTGAGTGGAACTCAATTACAACAATGTTAATGAGTTTAGGCCTACCGAGTTTATCAAATTGAACGTAATTCATAAAAAGCCCAAGGGTGTACATTACAGTTGGAATTATACCTGAGCATATTCCACGATGCTCTTGATGTTGTCCAGAAGAGTTCCCTTTTCGAGTTCAATGACTTTTTGTTCGTCGATCATGTAGCCCACCAGCATACACTCTTCACAAGAGTGTTTACACATCAGTCCCAGCAAGATGGCACACTCTCTGACCTGGGGGGAAACAAGGACATTAAAGTCTGAGCCAAATTCAAAAGGTTGTAATCAAGCCAAAGCCTTTTCCCTCCGAGACAAGTCACTCTGCCCTTTCTGTCCAAGTAATTTGTTTTATCAAGACATTTTTATGGTTTAGCTGATTAGGATGAGCTGATATCAATTTTAAAAAACGTAATGAAGTAATTTGCTATCTTCAACAGGGTCACATGCTCCAAACATCAAGTGACAGTTTTTCACGCCTTTTAATACTACAGCAAACAACAAGTAACATATTTTGCCACTTAAACAGAGCGGCTTGGACAAGACTACTTTTCCGATAGATGAAGTAGGTGTCGACTTCAATTGAACATCAGGGAAAAGTACAGAATTTGTTACTACTATCGACTATTGCAATAACTAATTTGTAAAAGATGCTGCTAGGGTATAATTGTTGGGTTATCTGCTTTTAACGCTGGAGGTTAGCAGGTATTCGGTGACTCAGTTTTGAAATCACTTTGTTCAGATTTGGCCTGATTTAACTTCAGACTAATAAAAAACACTTACAATAAAGCACACATAGAATTTTACCTGAATAAATGAAACAAAGACTTTAAAGGACCTGTGAAATGGATCCAAACAAAATCTAAAGACAGACAAGGATTTTTATTGCAGCAGCTTGGACAAGATTAGCTTTCTGATTCAGGAAGTGTCGACTTTAATTTTGATGTCCTTTGTGCTAAACATGCAGAACATCAGTCTAGACTCGTGCTCAAGCCCTTTAATGTAAAGATGGTGATAGCCCATGCTGTAGTGCATGAAAACAGTAAGGGAGACTGGTGGAAGTTTGTGTTAGTCTAAAGTGCATGTATTAAAGCACTTTAAAATGCCTAATTCTATCAGAGAATTCAGCTCCAACAAATAGCAATGTAGCTAGTATGTGTTGGAGCTGTCAGTGTAAGATCAAGATCTGGTTGAGTTGTAGTGAGTTCTGAGGGTGTAGAAACACTAGGTGCATGCACTCGTTACGTTCCTGCCTTGTGGAGAGTGTGCCAAGTGCATCCAAGCCAGCGGTGAGAGATGAAGATCTGGTGAAGTGGCTGTGTTTTTCGCCGGTGTCAACGTTGTAGGTATTAAAAGTTCTTGCCTTTGTGAAACTTGTCATTAAGACCCATTTGTTTCTCCAGAAATGAAGGCGGAACATTATATCAGTTCCATTGATCTTTCTGATAATTCAAGTTGACATATGATTGTTTATTAGCCAGCCATTTAACCTGTTCAACTCATCAACCACCAATCCAGCAGAATATTTCCGCCAAAATAAATCCAATAAATAGGGTATTGATTTCCTACACTGGTAAACCTCAAGACTGGCTTGGTGAGCAACTTCTTAACATGAATCTGTACCTTTCTCAATCCGTGTGATCCGTAGGCATAGGAATCCATCTGGGTCCCAATGTCACAGAACAGGTAGGTTTTGCCATAGATTGGCTTGATGTTGTGGCGCGTGGCTATCTTCACAGCAGTGTCTAAGGCCTTGCGGTAGCGGACTAGAAGTTCTTTGTTGTATTTGATATCCCTGCGGATGAAGCAAAGACCAACTTCAACAACTTGAGAAAGCCAGAGATGCAGTATCCGAGCCGTTGCACATAACTGTCACTAATCAGACTTCGCCCTGGCAATGTCTGACGCCTACATTGCCAGTCAAGAATTTCTCTGAGGTTTTGTTCATCATAAGCAGCTCATATGCAGCTCAGTTCATTGAATAAGCAGCCTTTTGTTCTCATTGCTGGCCATTCTAGCAGTCACCAGGCAACGAAAGCAAGTCAGATTCCTTTGTATTCAGCTGGAATATAAGAGACGACCCAAGGGCAATTGGATTTTTGTTGCACATGAGAAAGACAACTTTCTTGCATCCTAAGTAGTGATTCAGTCCATTGTCTAGGAGAGATCACAAAAAACCACTGTAAAACTTGAAAGAAATTGAATTTGTTCTTATTTTTGTGGACACTGTACCACATTGAAACACACATTAAGACTCTAACTTTGCTGCCAATAATTTTGTGTGTGTTTCCTTTCGTGTAATTTCACATCCAAATATCCAATTTCAAAAATACACATTTGATTATTTGATAACGGATACAATATCCCAGTATACAAATATTCGGCACAATCCTACTTACATTGGTTTCTTTTTCCAACGTCCGCCCTTTGGACCACCTCCTCTACCACGGCGCCCTCGCCCACGCCCTCGCCCTCTGCCACGGAAACTCTCGCTTTCGTTGGAAGCTGTTGTAGAAAGAGATGTTCTCGCTGTCAAAGAGCAGCTTGAATCAGCCTAGAATGCTTTTAAATCAAACATGTTGTTCTCTAGGACTTTGATAGATACAGGACAATTTGGTATTACCCATCATTACATGGGCTTTGCTGTCTACGAATGCGGTCTGAATTGATGAACATGCAGGGTTAAAATTCAAAGATGACAGTGGGTTGTGACCTGTTTTGCCTGAATATTCTGGTATTATCTGCATTAATAAAGTTATATTAAGTTACCACCTAATTTTTATGTATGATAGCGAGACCAGAAACTCATTCAAGTGTGAATTTTTGAAATCTCTAGCTTCGAGCACAAAGAATGCAGCAATTTTCAAGAGAAACACAAACAAAACTCAGCGCAATTATTTCTTCATATGAAATCCCAAGAATACCGCCGAAATAAAGACAAACTTCACCAAAGATTCAACACTCTTTTCATCAAGCCATCCCATATTCTTCCCTGTGCATAAGGCGGTCCACGCTGCACAAACGTGTCTTCAAAAGCAAAAAATTGAAAATGCTGTGTCACTGGGTGGCAGATTTGAAAGCAACACGATATGTCAAGGTGGGCAAGTTAAAATTGTTAACTAAAACATGGTTTGGGATGGCACAATGAAATACCAAACAAATGAAAAACTGACATTCTTTGTCTTTGTTTTCCAAGGCTGTCTCCATGGAGTCCAGCACGTCGTAAGCTGAGAAGAATCGGACCGGAAACTGCCTGCTGTTGATGACTGACTTTTCGTCGGTGAGCTTGCGGATGATCCAGGCATGGTACTTGGGCCCGACCCCGGCCTGAATCATGTTACGGAGGTTCCTCAGCATCGCCATGAAAGGCAGTTTCTTGTGGTCTGTCCCAAAAAAAAGGGGGGCGGTTCAATTATTTCATGTCAGAGAAAAGTTTGAAATGTACTTCTGCCATTCTGAACATGCCATCAGTATTCCTACATGCAGGTCTGTGATTTACAAGGAGCCTTGCATGTCCCCACATCACAGTAACTGTGCATACAAACAGTTGGACTCTGTCATGCCTAATTCCACATAACACAGAGTCAGTTTATTAGAGTGGTACTCATCCTAATAGATTCCAACAAACCCTGGTGTTGGAGTTTGGCTGGTTACGGATTGTAAGGGTTAATAGATATCTGAAAGATCTTCAGAGTTAAACAGAAGAAAATCTGGAAATTGTTTGTTTACTAAATCGTTTAGTTTACTGAACGCTTAAGTTGACAGTCCAACCTTCCCTGAGCCGAAGTGCGCCCTCGTCAGCAAAGAGACAGGTAGGTGGAAGTTTTTCAATGAACTCTTTCACACACCAGAAGCCACGTGGAGACTGTACATTTGAAAAGAAATTGGCTGCAAGCGCTCAGCTTGTCAAGCCCCATCATGCATAAATGCAAGCAGCAAGTTCCCATCAGAGGACTGTCCATGCCACTTGTGACATGCCATCTCTTGTGAATTACGGCAATCAATATTTGACATGCATGGTACTTTGGCTGGGAGGTGATGTTTGTTAGATAGAAAACAGAATCATTGGACCAGAACAACAGTAATAAATAAATGACTTATAGTCATATAGTGCCAAATTACCAGCGGATACAAGGCATTTATGAAAAATATCCCTGCTCACTGGGCCACAGACACTCCCAAAAACCATTTCAGCTCCCTGGGGAGCATGTGGTGAAATGCTGCCATTTCTGGCGCAAGCGACAAATCAAACACAAAAACCACTTCTGCCTTCATAGCTACCCATGTATACTTCTGGGTGGCGAGAGGCAAGTGGGAGTACAATGACTCATCCAAGGTCACAACAAGGTCATATCCAGCAGCTGGATTTGAACCCCAAAGGAGGGGAATAGCTTGTTTAGACGTCAGCGTGATTTTTGAACCCGTCAGTGATGCCTATGTATAATAATGGATCATGTTTTGACGTTCTCTTGCCCAAATCGGTTATCCATTGGTCTCACTCAAATTTGTTCATCCTTCCAGGGATGACTCCATGCATCACAGGGTTGACCTTTGACTGTTGACTTTTGACCCACCTATGAGCTGCTCCCAGATAGAGGCCTTGTTTCCCTTCAGCGATACCTGGGTCTCCCAGGTCTCTGGAGTAGGCAGTTTCATGCGCTTGCCAGCTCGGTCTGGGTCCCAAGTACCCGGTAGGCGTGTCTTGTAGAAAGCTTCCAGACTCTCTGGGTACCTGAAGATGAGGAGTTTCCATAGTCACGAGTTACCTTAATATTCAATCCAGTTTTTTTTTTTGTTCCTTCACAGTATAAAGGCCGGTTCATACTAGGTCAGAAAGTGTACACGAATAAAAATTCAAATTTGCTGAGAATTAGCAAAAGCTTAATACATCAAAATCCCTTCACCCTCATGTTGCTTGAAGTACATGTATATAACAGCCTTAACTCAATCTTTCGTAACACCCTCTGTAACTTGAAACTGTTCTGCACACAAGAGGGCGGTCTATTACGGCATACTTGCTGGAAGACTAAAGGCTGGATCACGCTTCACACAAAATCTGATCAGGGTGACATACCTTTTTTGACAGCATGAAATTTACTGGACTTTTGCTTCAATCATATGTACAAACTGATCCAGGTTACATTGGTTACTGGTGATTCAAAGACCCTTCATATTAAATGGGGACGGGCTACTCACTTCTTGCCTACGAGGCACATGACACTCTCCACAGGCTCGGTGATATGGAGCTTCCTGATCAGCTGCTTCAGAGTGTAAAAGTCACAGCGCCCGTACTCGTCTTGGTAGTTGTCGTCTCCCTCCACCAAAGGTTCCATTGCATCTTGCCCTTCATTGACAAACGGTAACGCGCTAGATAACCCTTCTTCGTCATGGTGATCCTCATCGTCTTCCGATTCACCTGAGTCATCAACTTCCTTGGTCTTGCTGTCCTCCATCTTCTTCTTGCGGTCAAATTTTCGTTTCTTGGGATTCTTCTTCGTCTTGTTGTATTTGCCTGGGAACGAGGATACCAAGAAGGAATTGGTTTTGTACGGAGCATATTGCTTGGCAAGCTTGTCAGTGCTCTGTCACAAGTGGCTATGAACCAATGAGAAGCTATGTGCACTACACAGCTATTTGGCTGGTGTGCAGTTTTTGGTATTAGTATAAACCTTAGAAAATTCTGCATAATCCATTGAATTTTTTGGAAGATTTTGGAAGACTGAGGCACTTTTGCAAAACATGCAACTGATTTTGGAAGGATGCAGGACATGTACATGTATGTCAAGGTGTTGTCTGAGACCTCATGTTGTTTAGGCTCACAGATATCTTTGAAGTGTCTCAACAAATTGAGTTCTACTGGATTGAGGTGGCAGGTCACACCTCCAAGGAAAACATTCAAGGAGTCATAGAGGCTTTTGGAGGATTGACAATGTATCCAATTTTAGCTTCCATAGTCTTTTGTTAGATTTCACAGGACTGAACTCAGATCCTCGCAAAAACGCCTAAGGGTGGGTTATAGCTAACATTTTCAGTGCACAGCAACTCAACGGAACTGGTGATACATGTGCGTGGGTAATGATGCTTGGAGTCTTTAAAATGATTGAATAAGATTGCTATTATGGTCAAAGTAAAACTATTCATATGATCGGAAGTGGAATGCATGGTGCAAATGGTGCTCTCACTCTTTGAGAGAGGGAACTTTGCGTTAGAACCTAAAATTATCAATGTTTGGAATTACATGTACATTGCACTTACCAAGCTGATACTCGTCAAAGTCTGGAAACTTTGCCACCATGACCTTTCTCAGGGCAGACGGCAGAGATCTGTAACTCAGTTCCTTGTCTTGGAATGACTTGAGACAAACAAAGTTGAAAAAAAAACCAGATTATCATCATCCAAGAAACTATCAGCAAAAATCTTTGCAGAGAATACATTAAAACACTATCATGAAAGGACGGAAAATATTTCTTACAAAGGCTCGGTACCAATTTAAGGCTGCACTTGAGCAAGAGGAAAGAGAAGCTAGCTCAATTCAAACTGGTATTTCATGATGTGTGCTGTGTAACATGCATGTAGTGGGTAGCTTAGTATGGACTCCTTTCCTTTGTTATTTCATTGAAAGATATAATGTGCACTGCTTAGTAGTTATACTGCCTGACAAGAACAGGTGTTCTGTTTTGACATCTGAAACTGCAATCATGACCATATTTACCTGTAGACAAATGTACCATCCTACCCCCTTCCCTGAAAGTGCTGATGGAAAAAAAACTCCTTTGAATAAAATATATTTAATGCTCCTGTGTAGGTTTCGTTGAAGCCTCTTTCGTGATCAATTTTAATCTCACGCGAAATAAACAAATCAAAAATGAAAAGGCCTGGAATATCATTTTCCCAAATCAGCTTTTCATATTGTAATCCGAGAGCAGGAGAGGTTTCGTATTTATTTCAGCTGATAAACAGAGCACCTTGGTCTGAAAAACCATAATGTATAGTCTAAATAAATAATCAGAAACAATTTACATATTTCAACAGCTTTGGACATTCAAAGCCACTTGAAATAAGGTGTCCACTAGGGCAGGGGGAAATAAGGTGACAAAGAGAACTCCTAACAAAATTAAAGTGAGTGCCTCAGATGACTTTGTATTGATTGTATATGCCACATACATGTACATGTAACGTGTACATGTGCAAATGTGCTACTATCATGGCACAAGGAGCATCCATCCAATGCAGGGCCATATCAGGTAAGTACAGTTGCATTCAGTTTTGGCTTTGTCTTTGCGATTCAGCATCAGGTCAGTTTTATGAATTTGGTTCCCTGAGTTGAGCTCACCCTGAAGCTTATTGAAGACCCATCTTCTGCCAAAGAAACTTTAAGTTGCCTAACATGCCTCACGTGAAGCCTAAGGTCAGAATAGTTTCATTTGATCGGAACAGTTAAGTTTGAAGCTGCAGAGCTTGAAACAAAGTGGAAGGAGGAGAAACAGATTTGGGAAGAAACAAAAGTATAAGTGTGCAAATCTTACAAGGTACAGGTCGGCTATTTGGGCCCAGTCTGACGGCAGACCTACAGACCGCTTGTAGTACTTTTTCAGGTAGGGACGGCATTCCCGACGGTTGGCAGCTAATGCCAACAAGAAGTTAGCCGTGGCCCGGATATTCAAATCCTGCCTGGTGTACAAAGCGACCTGTGCAAACAAAAAGATGTGTTTTTTTAAACTACATGCCACTGAGCACATTTTCTTTTAAAGAGGCCAACTCATTATGCATTCTGTTTACTTTTGACACATGGCGTAGCAGAGGTGCATGTACCTTATCTGTGTGTGGACCAGACCTAGGTCCATCGCTATGCATACTTTCAACTTTCAAATGAAGAACCACCAGCAGTCTGACACATGACCATGGGAACCATAAGAATGTTGGCCTAACATTTTATTCAACCTTTGGCATGTGAAGTCAGCAATAAAACTACATGTAATCACACAAAACTGTACGTAAGCAAATAGTAGTTTGCCATCATGGCATCAGATTTTAAGCAGGATTCGAAAACAGTAATCTGGGAAAGCAAGGCACTTCATGTTCAGAGGAGAGGCGGTGAAGTGAGTGTGTGCTGAAAAAATCTGTGGGGAAATACACGTACCGATACTACAGACTATAAATATCACTAACACCACCCTGACAAATGTATAGGTGTACATGTACCTCTGAATAAATGAACATGTGCATCCACGTCTTTCTGAGATATGGAAACAACAGTGGACAGGCACTTTTGGTGTGAATTACAGTTTGGCCAAATCAAAGAGTGCCATCCTACTAGGAATATGTAAAAGTACTCCTTCGTCGGTGAACAAACAAGCAGGCTGGGCAGACTGAATGGTTTCAGACTCTACCAATATTGGAATTTAGACAGTCAACGGAAGGTCTGGGAGCAGTCGACTTGCCACTGCTTGTGCGCATAGTTTATTTTAAACAAGGAACTGGGATATGTCAATCAGCAGAGAGCAAATGTTGGCTAGGGGCGTCGGCCTAAAGGCAGGTCTTTGCAACCTCTCTCATTCATGCGAGGTGTGGTATACGTGTGGGTCACAAACCTTCAGCACAAACTCTGGATCTATTTGAATGACAGTGTCTGCATTCTTTGTGAGTGCAAGTCTCGTCTCATCCTTGGGCAGCTTGAAGCTAGGACTGTTGACCAGTGAAGCGCTGACTAGATTTATCAAGGAAGTCTGGGAGGATGAAGCAAAACAAACAAACAAAAGTTACTCTCACATCGTATTGCACAACATGTCTTGAANCTTAACTTCAGTTAAATATTCTACACTTCAAAGCCACCTGAGATGGTACAATGTATATATAGTTTCATTTTAAAACTATCCACAAAACATCTTTTTTTTATAACTTTTTAAAACTAAAACTCAACTAAAACTTGTTTGAAATTAATCCATACAGTTTCCTTATGTCATTTGGATGCACTGTAGGTTGACTTTACACAAGTATTTTGTGGTGTTTCATTGCTCATTTCTGCATGCCGAAAGGCTGTTCTGAACGGAAAATATTTTAATGCCATCAACAACATGTTGCCGAAAAGTCGGATCATTTGTGCATCTTTGCTTTAAATGCAGGTATTTTAATTCTTTTCATTGAACTTTTTTGAACATTTGCATAGTTTCATTCACGTATGCATTAGTATTTCCCCATAAAGTACAACAAATATGACAATGAGAAGATTTGGGTTAAAATCCATGACTAAACGTTAAGGTTTAGTGATTATGCATATGTACACATGTGAATATGCATGTACATAAAATTCAAGTGCAGAGACTGTTCTTACATCACACCATGTAATTCGACAGAAAAAATGACAAAACTTGACCTATGGTCCAGGTCACCAAATGAATTTCCTGTGCAGGTACGTGTATGTGCAAACAGTACTGTAGGAGATGACTCATATGTGATGTACAGTATAAAAACATGTACACATGTAAATACTGTACTGTATACACATACAGTGTACATGTACACTGATAAGACATGCTGCATATATAATCAGTAGACTTTACACAACACCATGAAATTCTAACATGTCTAAGTGCTAGGCACATGACTTCATGTACATCATGCAAAGAAATGGGTCTGCACTACAGACATGTGGAAGTAATTTTGTCTTAGTTCCCATCTTTCGTATACGACGAGAGTTAATTGCAAGTTTCTTAGGTACACGTATTATTGGCAGATTCTGTGGGATAAAAGGTCAAGGTCGGAATTTTTGTACCACACTGCAATGTCCCTGGACATGCTGAATGCATGTGTACAGTGCAAACATTAAGCAGCTGGTAACATGACTTTGGGCAGGCCACTTTAATTTTACCACAGAGGAAGGATGCCTTACTTGTCTCCCTCCACTCAGAAGTGTACACATACATGTACTCGTATGTACATGTATTTGTATGTAATTT